TTGGCAGGGCTTATCAAGGTATACCATCGCAAGATGACTGTGTATTGTGTTGATCTATAGACAAGCATTCTCATTTTGCATAATTAATAAATGATTTGGTCTATATTCTTTTGTGTTTGAAGGCTTGGTTTCCGAGAGCTGCCCAGGGGTGTTCTGGATTCTTTATACCCCGAGCAGGTAATGCAATGCCAGACGGAGGAGGAATGTGCTGAACTAGTGAGGCATCTACCTCCTACTGAAGCTGCCCTCTTGGACTGGCCGTCAATCTGATGGCTGATGTTGTACTACAGGAACATCTGAACAAGATGAACGCGCGCAACATTTGCCATGGTTTTTGCGCCAAATATGACTCAGGTGAGTTCCAATCAATATTTTAATTCTTCAGGGAAGAAAAGGGATGCCTTTTTAATTGCACTATGATATTTTCTGGGGGGCGTTTTCCGCAGTATTTTCTTTCAAACACGGTTCGGTAAAAGGCCAAGTGTTTGACAACTTACAAGCTCATAAAATTCTGTGTCAAAAGTCCTTGCCAAGTTGCCAGTGCCATTTTATTTATTCCCTTAAGACCCAAAGTGCCAATGTGATGGTTGGTCTATCTGATGGTAGGTTTAACTTCTAGATTTTTACAGCACTCTGACTTTGTGGTTGCAGATGGCAGATCCTTTAACTGCATTAATGTACGCAGTCCAAGTGATGAATTTCTTAAAGACACTTGTACTAAAGACCCTCCGGGAAAGAAAGGATTTGTTGGTAGACTCTTCTCCTCAATTTCATTTCGAGCCGTCAGATGAGAATGGACACCATAGCCCTATGCAATCCTTCCAGCGAGATCCTAATGAAGAAAGGGAAGATGCACAGGAAACTTCATTTCCGAGAGAACTATCCAAGAATGTTCCCCTAACTCTACTCACCAAAGCATTAACCTGGCTGGAGAAGAATCTGGCAGTGTGTTAACCTCTTCTGAGCATCTAGTTTGTGATGGAGGTTTATGTTGCAAGTTTTCGCCCAAAGGAAATGCTGGGAAGAGTAAGACTGGCGGGCCAAGTAATCCCAATACTAGAAGGAAGACCAAAAAAGCCAGGGTACAACAACCTGCAATACATCGAAAAGTGCCTGTGGAGAAGAGGGGGATTAGCAATCTGAGTCGGTTGGATTCAAGATCAGAGAGGATAGAAGCCTGGAGGTGAAAGAAGCACAACTGTGACGTGTGGCTCTGTAATTTGTAAGTTGGATTGGGTTGGAACTTGCAAAAGTAAATTGTTTACTGGTTCACTCATGTTTTTCTTTGTATTCTTGGGTTTGCTTAACTTGTCCGATTTTAGGAACAGTGTTCTATGATCACTCTAACCATATAATGAAGTCGCATCAGTTGTGTGTTTACTCTTGCTCAAATTTTATTCCCAAATGATCTTCCTTCATTTGTGTTCAGGGCATCCTAAGGTCTCCTATGACTATTTTAGTGCTTGGGATCCTACGCTAGATTGCCATATTCTTCAATTGATAACAAGATGATTAACGACTTCTTATTGAGATTAGTAGAACTGTATGAAATGTCATAGCTTAAAAGACATTCCCATCTGAAAGTAGCAGAACTGTATGAAATCTCATAGCAGAATTGGTGATTGAGATACAGCGCGTAATATCACAGAGAGTGGACAGGCATGCCACCTGGCGTGCCATATTGAGAGTGGGTGGAAATGTGCCGCGGAGAGCACCTTCACACACGATCCAAAAAAACAGATCACAATTCGGCCTTAACAGTTCACATCACTCTCGTACTAAGAAAGCTGTGGTCCGTCCTCGGTCCTCCTTCCCCAAAGAAACAGTGAATAACATCCTCATCTTGCTCTCTGCCTTTCATCCATTTAGATACATGCAAGTTAAAAACTTTATCTTGATTCAATTTGTGTGTCACACCCAAAATTGGCTATTTGGTACCCAGTATCACGCCATAAGTCATAATGTCACAGAAAAATCATTACTTTAGTTGATAATTAAAGGGATAATTATATATAAACAACTGAATTTATAAACCAGATATTAAGAATAATCCCCATCAATACTGACAAGACAAGATATTTAGTTCCTGTCTTTGAACATTTTTATTGACAAATATTAAGAATTAACTAATGTTTCAATAATTTTTGAATAACAACTTATAAAATAATACATTGTTAAAAAAACATACAACGAAATAAGAAGATAAACTTTCAATATTTTCTCCCTTCAAGATTAGATGCTTTTCCGAAAGAGAGAGGGGCGAGGGGACCTCGAATTTGAAAGAGAGAATCTATCTATCTCTTACGCGTAGTGGTAAATGAATATGGAAACTTTTCCATGCTGCTTACTGAAATTTATAGGCATTTGTGGTCGCCAAATTTACACCAATCTCTGTAGCCACCCATTGATTCTTCAAAACTATCACACACAAAAACAATTCAAAGAGAAAAAAAATAGAACCTCCTACTTAATAGCATCTTGCTCTCGACTTTTTTAGATCAAGCTATTCTCGTGACCCTTTTATTTTTTTCGCCCCTTTTGTCTCCTCCTCTCAACAATCTTTGCTGTCTTTGCTCTCGTCTCTTAGAAAAGTAAAAACAGAGCAAAGGCCATGGCTTCCGGCACGAGCCTGCATCGCATATTTGAAAACCCGTTGCCTGAAAACCCAACGCTTATGCAATCCCTTTCGTTGAACCAAATTAGAACCATCAGACCCACTGACGATTCCTCCTTTACGGAGTTATTTGGTGAACTCCATTTCAAGGAGAGTCCTCAACCCTCCTCTTCATCTCCCTTTCTTCCAACTTCACCATCATTAGACCTTGGCTCTGACATAAACCAAACCTCTGTTGCAAGCACCCCAGAGGATCTTGATTTCGAGAATCCATTGCCACAAAGCCCAACTCTGCTTGAATCCCTCTCGTTCAATAAAATTATATCCGCCAGACCCGTTGACGGATCTTCGATTACTGAATTATTTGGTGAACTCCATTTCAATGAAAGTCCTACACAATCCCCTTCTTCATCTGACCCTGTTTCTACTTCACCATCAACAGGCCTTCAAAAGCCTGATCATAAAGATGTTCTCGACTCAAAACAGAGCACACCGGAATCAAAACATATCATACGTCACAAGAGTAGCGATAGTTTTTCATCTTTTAATTCTGATAGTCTGCATTTTTGCACAGAGGGCCTCGGTTTTGAGAGCTCAGACGATACGGAAGAGTTGAAAGCAGGAATGGATGAGTGTTGTTGGGAAACTCAAAGCGAGAAAGTGGGTATCAAGAAGAATAATTTCGCTCCAGAAGATTCATATGGAGAGTGCAGAAAGTCAAGGATCAGGGGGCTAGAGTTCCCTCCTCCTATTTCATGCATAGGGAGCACTGGGAAGCCTTGGGTTTGGTTCAAGTCTTACAGGGACAAAGGTAGATTTGTTTTGAAAGAAATAAGAATACCCACACGGGAGTTTCTTTACGCTAATAGAGAAGATGGAAGGCTGAAGCTGCGCTTTGTGCTGCCGGATGATGAATTTCTGGAAGAACAGAATGAGGAACAAGAGGATGATGATGATGCAGAAAGTAGAGACGAGGAAGAAAAAGATGATGATATAGCAAGTATAGATGAGGATGAAGAGAACACGGAAAAAGAAAACTTTGATTGTGTAGGAGATCAGGGTAACGAAGTATGAGGGATTGATGCGGGAGCCAATTCATGAAACGCAGGAAGGCTAAAATAAAATAGATTGTACTATGCTTTTTTACTCTAATCTACGTGCTACGGTTCTACGTTTTCTCAGTTTTGAATCCCATGATTACGAGGCTTTATTTTTGGCTCAACTTTGAATTTAAGAGTGCGTAATTAACAACGTGAAACTAACAAGTACTAAATTCTGTTGGATCAATTGCCTTCGGAGCTACTCCCTCAATGGTTTACACATACTAAGAACATAGCCATTTCAAAAATGTAGGAAATAATCATAACGCTTGACCAAGTTTTCTTGCTTTTCCTTCTGCTTTGGGGGAAAAACGAGAAGAAGAGAAAATAAAGGCAGCGCGCGCGCACAGCCCCCAAGATTCTCCACCGCCAAAGCATGATTGACAACTTCACATTGGTTCTAAACTCTAAACTGGAGTCTTTAATAATTTGATGACTCAAGTCGCAATTTTTTTAATCAAATGATTAGAGAGAATATGACATTAGCTGAAATTCGAAGGGTTAAACTGTTCGGGGAACAAGGTAAAAGAACAGAATTTCTTTTATGACAGAGCAGAATTAAAACAAAAGATGGGGGCATTCCGAGAATTGAACTCGGGACCTCTCGCACCCTAAGCGAGAATCATACCACTAGACCAAATGCCCTCGTTGTGAGCCCGCTCCTGTTAAGTAGAGTAAGTTAAAGATTCAGGTAACCCTGCAAACTTTATTGCACAAGAACTAGAAGGATGAAGCGCGGAAAAGAAGCGGCGTGGTCGAGAAATAAAATCTTAAGCCAGAATCATAGTGATGACGATAAGATTGTGAAAGAGACGCCAACTCATGGAGATAAGAGCATTTAATACAGGATCTGACCTGGGACCATAAATGCCGCGTTAACATATGGACATCGTGATGTGAATCCAGCACCGACTGTGATTTTGAATGGAGCATCCGATTTTCTTCTGATCCCCAATCCATGGATTGTTATTTCACCTACATGATCTGCCTCCCGAGAATTCGGAGACCACAGAAAAGGGGTTCTTTTTTTCTTTTCCCTCCTAAATTAACCGAATCAAATCAATTTATAATTTTTTTCTGAGCAAAAGAGGACGCTATAATTAGGAGGAACAAGAATAATAGCCTTTCAAAAAAGAAAAGAAAAGAAGCACCGTCTTTGCGCGCAGGAATGTCTCGCTTCGCGTGTTTCTTCGGATCAAATACCAACGGTGCAAGTGGAAGGCGGATTAATTTGCGCGAGCCACGTAGCAAAACATAAGTCCCCGATATTTTGGATTGGAGGACTACAAAGAGTGTTTATCTTCTTCAGCCGGCAGATCGTATTGACGCCAACAAATCGTTCGAATATAGCCTTCCCATTTTTAATACAAAACTTATTTTTGTAGTATAATTCATATTATTATAAAAAAAAAAACAGCACTATAAAATGGGGAGAATAAAAATATCCTTCTCAATAGCTAAGCCCGATGGTCAGAACAAATTGCATTAGTAGTGATCACTGATCAATGTCAGAAGTCTAGGAAGTAAGAACAAGTTGTGGACACGGGGTTTCAATATCTAGGATGCCAACGAAGCCCACAAATGCCCAGATGTTTAATTTCAAACTTCAGGTCCAATAAAAACAAAAAGTGGAATTAAATATTGAGCATCCACATCAATATAGATTCAAAATGTTCAATTTTTACCATTTAAATAATTTTTTTATTTTTAAGCAAATAAAAATTGAAAATCATTATTTTAAATTTTGCATGTCCCAAAGTAAAAATATTATAACAATGAAATCTGAACTCTCTAAATTCATGACGAGAAACATATGCAGCATTTAAAAAATAAATTGTACTCATTTACATTATAAGTTATAATTGCTATTTCCATAAATTTGCATTAATATATTGATTCCAGATGTTTTATACACTGATTTGTAAACACTGTTTCCCCTTCGCGAGTAAAAATTTAAAATACTTTCTGAACTGTTTCTTTAGGTATCCTACGCACAACTTCTATCATTATGACCAAAAAGAGCAACAAAATGAATAATCTCACGCCATTAGAACAATTTCAATCAAAACAAATTCGATGTGACTCAGTCCTCACGCAAAGTGCGTAGAATCCAGAGAATATAGATCATCTGCAAACTGCAAATTATTGAGAAACATAAAAGAAGCCAATCATATTGATAGTATGTTGGAACGTAGAACACAGGTATTGTGTGGTCATTTATTTGTCTAGCTGCTACAACCATTACCAAACTATGGCAACATGCATCAAGGCAGTGCAACTATCGAAGCAAGCCTCAATCCTGCGCTTCTGGCTTCTTCGCAGTGCCTTTAAGGTACCATCCCAAAGCACCAAGAATTGTAATGGTCCCAGCAACAACTGCATAGTTCCGGTACTGGTCAGTAGAAACTTTCTCGGCAGATGATGTTCCTGTAGAATCCAAGCTGGGTTTGGCGTCAGTTACTGAACCCCCCGAGCCTGCCGCTGCCTTACTGTCTGGTTGAGGACCCTGATTTAGAATAAATGTTGACTGATAAGTTTAAAGCATAATATTATGCATGCGCACAATAAAAACTACTAATCCAAAGGTGACTCGCTGATATAAATCATTTTAACCTGTTAGTAGAGTGACTCCATGGGAATAAATCAGGAAAATGTCACGAAAAATCAACACCATAGAAATAATTTACCCTCTAGTTAAAATGTTGTACATGGGGTCATGATCAAGAATCTGTAATGTTTAAAAAGCATAATTACACTACCAAAAGAAATAAAAACAAGTTTCCAGCCTCATGTTTACAGTTAATTTCAGCCAAAAGTTATCTGACGATAAGTCCATTCCCTTGTGTACCCTTGACTTACCACGCATCCACCACTCTTTTCATCTTGCCTAACTCACTCGTCATTTTTCTCATTTATCACCCCATGCCAGCAGGTATTAACAAGAAATATTTCTGAACCAAGCACCAAAAGAAATAAAAACCAGTTCCCAGCCTCATGTTTACAGTTAATTTCAGCAAAGTTATTTGACAATAAGTCTGTTCCCTTGTGTTCCCTTGGCTTACCACGCATGCTCCACCCTTCTTATCTTACCTAACTCACTGATCATTTTTCTCATTTACCACTCCAGTCACCAAGCATTAGCAAGAAATATTTAATTATCACATCAATTGAAGCAATGAAATCAACAAGTAAAAATCAATAATATCTCAAGTCAGACAATACCTTGCGAGCAAGCTTCTCTAATTTCTCTTGCTCAGTTTTCTGCACTATCCAAAAACAATAAACACATAAGGCAGGAGGAATTGAGAAAGCAAAATCCTCTGGTGATGTTCATAATAGACAAATAAAGTCAACTGGCAAAGAACAGTATCTTCATTTCAATACACCTAAAATTCAAATTCAGACATTGCTATGTTGCCAGTACGAACCACTAAGGCGATTTTTCGTTACCAATGCATGTTAATAATTTTTCACAAGCATTGGTGTTATACGCACGCCAAGCAGTTTTGCTCAGCTCGTTGGAAACCTCCCAACCTTTGGAACACCATGTCAAATCCTAACCATACAAAGATACTTGTGAATCTACAAACAAAATGAATGCTAAAATGCGGGGAAGAAAGAAACACGGCTATACTGCACCATATGCCAGAGAAAAGCGCCAAGGATAGAATCAATAAAAATAACTTCTGGATGCCCTATTATCTGTTAAAATTTGTTCGATAACCGATCGAAAGCTTGCAATGAAGACACTACACTAACACTCCGAAGTTCCTGGCAATGTCATCAACTTACAAAAGTTCATATCAGGATAAAAAGAACATATAGAACCAAGATTACGCTAGGAGATTTCAAGATTACCTTAATGTAAACATTTTCTGCAGCTTTTTCCTCCTCACTAAGTACTCTGCCATTGCCACTGCTATACAGTCTTCTGGACACAAATCTCGCAGCCATCCGCGTCGCCATCACACTCAAATTTGTTCTGTGTAAATGAGACGATGAATGCTAAATCTACTCGTCATGTCAAAATTTAAGATGATTGGAGGAACAAACATAAGAAAGGCGAAATCCCCTATCTATTGCCATTTGAAATAAAATGAAAACTAAGTAAACTCTCAGAAGAAAATCGATTGAATAAATGAAATCAGAAAGTTGATGTAGAGAAAGCATAGCAAATTCAAGGTGGTCCTTAAAACAAAATGACAAGATTTTTCGGAATAGAAGAAATAGATACCAGAATCAGTGCACAGGGCGAGAGGCTCAGAGAAAGAAATGCGAGAGTTCTTGTTGCGTAGGGGAAGAGGCGCACAAGGGTTTAAGGACAACCCCTTTAGATGCGGGCGAAGGGGCAGGTTCAAGCAACGAATGGCTTCGGTGCGAAGAGCCGGTTTCGTTTGTTCTATTTCAGGCCTTTTCTAGGACCAAAAGCCTAATGGCATCAGATTCAGAAGGTTGCAGATTTTTTTTGAAGAGGGGAAAAAAAAGAAAAAAGAATAGGCGGTTGTAGAATTTTCTTGCTATTTCTCCGAAGCCTTACGAAATTAAGCAAGCAAAATAACCATAATAAAAAGATCACTGATTTCAATTTTTGATAATGATATTTTTCTTTAAATTTGAGTGATAAATATTTACATCCATATGTCTTCACTTGTATCTTGTTTGGCGGAAAATATATTTGCTGTTCTTATTGCAAGTCTCCTAACTGGACAATGATTTGAAAGAGTTGAAATTAAAATTTACAAATAAAAGCTGGTCTAAATTTGTGTAAATATAGTAACATTTAATTTATTAACTAAATTTTGACATAGCATCCATTATAAAATTTGTGTTATTTGCACAGTATCGCGATTAATAATTGATGGTCAGTAAGAGAATATTTTAAGCACATTTTTAATTGTGTCTTCACTATTCTTCGTGTATTCATTTTTAGTTTATTTACAAAACTTATCATCCACAGCTTATTTTAACTTTTAAAAAATTGTTTTAAAATAATGTGGTTGGTCATTCACGAAGTTTTGGCATTACTATGGCTAGGTAGGCTAGACCCAAATTGCCCCCTTCTCCCGAACTAGCTACTCACAATCACAAAATTTTGTTTTGGGGAAGAAAACAAAGGAAAAAACTCAGAAATCAAACCCTGTTTGGCAGTTAAAAGACGGCAGAACTCATGCTTCTGGTCAACTCCCACGGTTTCCCCTGCTTTATCTGCATTCTTTTGAAGCCGAATGGTGAGGCCAAACCTCTGTGCTTACGTAATTCTCTCGAGATTTTTGCTCATATTTTTGTGTTCTTTAGGCATCCAAGAAAGATAGTAAAGCTCCTCCTCCATCCTCGAAGCCCGCCAAGTTTGGAGGAGGGAAGCAAAAGAACAAGGTAAGGGTCTTCAAATCTCTTAATTGAGAAGTCGCTCAGAAGTCAGAATGTAATCCTTTTGAAGAATCAGACCATTGTTTTCCCCAATGGCCTTTTGTAGTTTGCCTTGAACTTGACGAAGCTAATTGAATGTGCATCTGACTGCCGTCACTCTTCAGAAGTGGAGCAAGGGAAAGCAAAAGGAGAAGGTGAACACCATGGTATTGTTTGATCAAGCAACCTATGGTAAGCTCCTTTCGGAAGTTCCAAAGTACAACTTAATTACGCCATCCATCATGTTTGACAGATTGAGGGTACGTTCTTAGCTTCTCTGCACGCTCCGTACTTTTTATGCAATGAGATTGACAAAGGAATGTTACTGAGTGGTATTCCCTGATTTGAAAACCGCTAGCTATTTGAAGAAGCATAGTTTCTCCATGGACAACAATGTTTTGATCTGTACGTGGCGGAATAACAAGTATCTAGTGGAATCCTATGATTTGTATGCAAAGGCATCCTTGTTTCTTGGTCATTTGTAAAGTAGGGGTTCTTTGTGTGTCCTTTCCAAGAATATGACATTGGAAAGTATTATTGTTGGTGTGCGCAACAACACGCATATTTTAGACTTGAGAAAAGATCTTAGTTTGCTTTCCTCATGTAGAAGGAAAGTTGATTGGCTGATTGCTTGCACGTAATTTTTACTATAACTTTGTTCTTCTCTTCATCATTTACAGATCAACGGATCCTTGGCTCGTCGGGCGATTAAGGACTTGATGGCAAGAGGATCAGTTACGCTAATAGCTGCTCATGCCAGCCAGCAAATCTACACTAGATCCAGCAGCACCTAAGCTTAAAGATATTTCTTTCTCCGTCAGTGCCAAAGTAGCCTGCATACATTTGTTAGATAACTAATACTCCTACCATCCCCATGAGGACGGCATTTTGTTAGACCCTCACTTCTTCACTCTGATCATGGCTTGCACTCTTACTTCTGATTTGGTCCTGGACAATGGTTAGTTTTCTCCCTCAAGTCGGTGACAATTTTGTTTCGTTGCAACTTTTTTCACTGCCATATGATTGAGAAACGGGAATATCTACAATGCGTTACGCTGAACTTGGTAATCTTTGTTCTTGTGCTTTGAAACGAAAAGCGTTTGGGTTTTGCAATCGCCTGATTTACGAATGAGACTGTTTCGCCTCCCCAAATAAATAATGGTAACGAATAATTGAAAAATAGGCCTTCAAATGTCAAATTATATTACATCGGGCGTTCGATAGAGATTGAAGGCCTATGCTGCAAGCACTTCCAACTCAGAGTTGTTTTCCTGATCAATAACATCAAGGAACAATGGATCAACGGTGACATGGCTATCCACGTGCACCTTGAACTTATGTTCCCACCAAAGAACCTTGGCCGTACCACTGATATCCACGGCGGCGTCGAGCACCATCTCACGCTTGGCGACATCAGCCACAAATTGAGCGGCGTGGTGGGCCAGTTCCAGGCCGTTAAGCCGGGCCGGAAGGTGGAGCAGCTGGCAGGAGCGGGGCGGCTGCGAGCCGGCCTGCACCTCGGCCGAGCCCAGAAGCGAACCCTGGTAATAGATGGACATGGAGGTAGAGGAGTAGTGGATTGGAGCAACGTTGGGGTTGGTGACGTGTACGGTGAGGATGAGCTCGGCGTCGAGGACAGGAAGGTGGAGCTTCAAAGAGGTGAAGCTGATTGATATGAGGTGGAAGGTTGGGTCCTTGGGCTTCGCCGATACAAGCGCCGTTGCAGCCACCGCCGACGCAGCTCCGATAATCGCCGAACTCCAGCTCCATTTTACCTTCTGGTCCATGCCTGCTCCGCATCACCTCCAGGATCAGATTCCCAATCTGAAACCTGCAGTGGAGGAAGGAGCTAAGGGTAGTTATTAGATGACGGAAATGCCCTCAAATTTAGCCCCGCGAATTTTGCGGATGACGAGGACAGGTTCGTCATTGAGTCAAAAGTGGAAGCAGGAAGACGCCGAAGAGCACATGGGCACATGGCCCAAATATCGTCTCATCTCCACTTCCTGCTTCAGGGGGACATGTATAAGCCCATCTCTCGAAGTTGGGAGCCCAGGTACCGCATTGTGTTCTAACGTTTTCCTCCTTTTTTTTTTTTTTTTGCCAATTTTTAATATAAAAACTTATTCAGTTTTTAATTTAGTCTTAAATATAAAATTTCAATCCATTTTGTCTCTTATGTTTATTTTTTTTTAAGATAGTCCTTATAATAGTTATATATGTTAAATGTTTTATCAAATAGTAATTCTAACTAATACACATAATTAGTGAGATTTTTTTAATGTCTATTTATTATAAATAACAAATTTAACAAACTTTCTTAATCTACAACTAATTCTTATAATAAGAATCAAAGGTGGCATTAGAGACAATGAGAAAGCCTATAAAGTTGCCGTTTTACGGTCCCTTTTGTTTAACTAGTGGGGATAGGATGTCATATACCACACAATTCATCTTTAATTTATTGTTTTATAGATTATTATTTTTTAAATATATATAATACCTCCAGTTTTTAATACTACTTCCAATTGCAATTATAAGATTTCGTTTATAGTTTACAAATGATGTCTTATAATTAAGATAAGAAACGGTATAAAATTTAATTAACTAATTCAGAAAAATTAAGAAAATTATCAAATTACTTAGTTATAACATATATTCCTCCGGTCCTTAATATAAGACCCATTTAACTAATTTGATTAGATTAAGGAAGTTAGGTAAATTAGTTAATTATAAGAAAATTGACACATTTTTCCTAAAACACCATAATCATCTTTCTTAATACCCCATCTCCCTCTTTTATTTGATTATGGCTGAGGGAGTATTCATAGGGGTAATTTAGAGAAAATTGATAAATATGATAAAGGGGTCTTATATTTAGGACCAAAACCAACTCAAGAATTGGGTCCTATATTAAGGACCGGAGGAGTATTACATTATCTCTCTGAGATATTTATATATATAATCAGATTAAATATCAATTCATAAGTAAAGCAAATTTATTTTTTAAACATTGAGCTTTCTCAGTTTTTTTAAATTAATTAACTGGTTTTTATATTAAAAATTCGAAATAATACTAAATAGGAATAAAATTAAAAAGATCATTAATTAAAAATAAAACTAATTAAATTTAAAATTTTTCTTCATTTTAATAAAGTAAATTAGAAGTGCCTTACACATTAGCGAAAAAAATGATAGCATAACTTTCACTACTTTTTCCTTCAAATTTGCACATAGTTTTCTAAGATGTTGTGACAATAAAAGTAGTTAAATTAATGTTAAGTTCTACAATATTCTGATTTATTTTTAAATGAAAATAAATATAAATAAATGATTAAACCAAATAAAATCATACTACCTCCGTTCCTTAATATAAGATCCTATTTGACTTTTATTTTAGTCCTAAATATAAGACCCCAATATACTTTGTCTCTCATATTTATATATTTTTTTTCTAAAGTAACCCTTCTAATAATAAGAGTTCTAGTCAATACACTTGATTAGTAAGGATATTTTAGGAAAGACAACACCTATTTAGGACAAATAACTAACTCAACTTGCTTCCTTAATCTCCTCAAATTAGTCAACTGGCTCTTATAATTAGGACCGGAGGTAGTATTATTAAGTTGAAATATGCTTCCCAAGATTCCCAAATAAAATAAAAAGACTCACTTTTAATTCTTTTATTTGATTTTAAAAGTTATGTTTTGTGCGTTACACAACCATAAAGAATTAGGGGTATTTAAATTAGTTTTTTTAAAATGATTTGAATAAATATACAGAAAAAAAGTTGTGTCATTGCATGAAAGCATTTTTTTTTAGATGTTTTTGAGTTTGTCAAACTCCCCTGACATTTTGACAATAGCTCTTGTATGTATATCCTTCATGATATTTATTTTTCATGCTTGTTTTTTGATTTATTTTATAAATCATTTTAGAGTTAAAACTAACACTTACCGAATTAAGAATGTTATTAATATTTGAATTTGTGTTTTTTTCACTGAGTAACACTTTATACTATTTCAATTAACAACTTATTGGTTATATACTGTCATTTGATTATAATATAAATTGCTGCTTTAAAAAATATAAATTTTAATTACAAGGATGTGGGATGTCCTGCTTGCTCAGATAGTCAGATTAAATAAATATGAGGGTAATTTACCCAAAAAAGAAAAAGAGGGTAAATTCACTCAAATAAATATGAGGGTAAACGTCACACGTCCCGCACTCCACACCGGCCTCAGCCTGTAAGATGCGGAAACCTGCCCGGTTCCTACTGTCCAGCCTTCTGTATCTGAGATTCCCAACTCATTCCAACTCAGGCCATCATCATTTCGTACGCTAATTTTATTTCGGCTACGCCCCCAACTGCTACTATGGATCTTTACGATTCTAATCGCTCCCGCCACCGCAGGCCCATCTCCTCCGAGCGCTTCCTTGGCGTTTCAACCCATGCGCCGCTCCTTGAAAACCCTAGCTCCTCCAGAAGGATCAATGGTGGTGACGAGCTCACCGAAGACGTCGTTGTTTTCATGAGCGAAGACTATACTGAGCCTAACCATTCATCCACCCCTTCATCTTCCTCCGCCTCATCCACCCCACGCCACCACCTTCATCACAGCCATAAGGGTTTTGGGCCGCTCGATACATTTGGCATTCTCGCTGCTCTGCCTGAAGATGAGCCGTCCCCGAACGCGCGAAACACTTCGCATCTGTTCCATAAGGCATCTGTGTCTTCCACCTCTTCCTCGTCCTCCCGTTCGATTCCTGCCATTCCGAAGCCACCGCAGGAACGAATTCCTTCCTATACTTCATCGTCCTCTGTGAAGTACCCCCAGTCTGCGCCGGTGAATGTGCCGGTCATGTCGCCAGCAATGATGATGGCGAGGAGTAGACGCCGGGAATTTGATGAGGACTTTGACGACGAAGGTGATGAAAGTGAGGAAATGCTCCCCCCGCATCAGGCTGTGGCAAGAAATTCTGCGCAGTCCCCGATGCTTGCTAGCTCGGTTCTTGAAGGAGCCGGGAGGACGTTGAAAGGGAGGGATTTACGCCAGGTCAGGAATGCGGTTTGGCGGCAAACAGGTTTTCTTGACTGAAGGATTTGGATACTCGTAATTCTTGGATGCCTTATCTTACAATTTTCTTCTTTTGACTACATTTGAGATTATCAGACTGAATTTGTTCTGAACTAGTGTATCTTAGTGGCCAATTGCCGCTCCATTGTAAGCATGAAGCAAGTTACTATTTTAAATTTTCTTTCTGACGTCTTTTTATCAATTAAAACCTGCTCTACAAGATCTAGGCATGGCGGATCATTCAGTCCAAAGAGATTCGGTCATTTATGAGCTCGTTAATGTTTTATTTCCCTCCTTCTACGGGAGTGATTTTTGTATGTCCCGTCGTTTTCACTGGACACATTCTGGTTTTGATCATTTGTTGGACAGGGATATACTCTTAAGATTAGGATTAGGACTGAGAAAACAGTGTTTAGTACGAGATATTACTTATGATATGGGATTAGATAAACGCATATATGTGGGATTGGAGAATACTATGGGAGGAAATGGTATTCACCAATCCTACTTTTATGAATTTGTTTAATCCTATGTAACAAGCAATTACTCATGCTAAAGGTTTTTTTAATGATTTTTTTTTCAATTATAATCCTAATTCCTATTTTCAATATTTCGTACCAAATGGCACCTTATAATGCAATTCACAAAATTAATTCATCGGATGTGCTGAGTTTTTGATGTACCTTCCATCTGAGTCAAAATATATATGAACTTTGCGTCGCCAAATAAGGCTTACTGAGATCAGTTTATTTCTTTATTTGAAACACTCGAGATTAGAGAACTCATATACGTATATAAAAAATATGGTATAGCTCTAGCCACTCTATCATACTCTATTGTGGTTTAATTACTGCTTTTCCCTTCTTTATTGCGATTAAAAATTAAGGACTTTATGAAATGAGAAGTCTGTGTGCTCCCTTCACCACTGCCTGGCTTCTCTCCATTTTTGCCAGTACCATGCTATTAAATTGATAGCGTGCCTCTGAAAACTAAAATGCAACGTGTCAACTAAGTTAATTGTTGCATTTTCGTGTGATTTGGACTGTGTGGAATTGACCGATAACTTAGCCATTTGTTGCTTCTTCTGGTGGAATCCTAACATGTGGGTCTTGCCTTATGATATCAATGCCGCCTTGTTGAAGACATATGTGGTGTCAACTTTTCAAATTCAATCATCTGCATTTCAGAGGCCTTTGGCAGTGCGGTTTGAGGTTCTGAGTTGTCAGAGATGCTGCAAGAATCTTCTTTTAAAAGGTCTGTGGATGATTGTTCCTGATCTGTTTTACTTTCCTTTCATGAACGATCTTGTGTGCTGGCCTTGCGGGTAACCAACCACTGGGACTTTACTGTTAATCGAAGTTGCTGTTATTTTGCTCCTGACTTGTTTTTTCCCTGAGTTTTCTCTAACTTTGCTTCCTGGGTTCTGGGGATGCTGCTGTAATTTGCTCCTGAGACTGCTGTTAGTTGAAGTTGCAGCCTGTCGCAGTTGCAAACTGCATCAGCAAACAATAAAGCAAGAAACAATATTTATGACTTTTGGCTACCTGGAACGGCACACGAATGATGAATTCAAGAAGCGCAGCACTCAGCCGCCTCTGGAATTCCCAACTGGTTCGGTCGCTGTGTGTTTGATAACTGCCCTGAAACACAGCGCTGATTGTGGGAGGAGGAAGCCGTGTGTCAAGATCCTACTGGAAGGAGCAACGTAAAGATCAGTGTAGTAGGAGGATGAATTGGAGAGAGAGGATGGCGCCAAAATGATGGCATGATTTTGGCGCCAATAATGGAGCGAAGCCTCGTGATTGCAGAGTTTCCACGACTGAAATTGGCTTATGATGATGCATTGTTGGGGGTGGGCGATGTATGTTTATTTTCAGACAATATTGGCTATTGGATTCTTTTCCTTAAACCAGTCATTGGATGCCTATTGAAGGTATTAAATTATGAAACAAAACATTGAAGTTATCAAAATATATTTAATTACGAGAAAGCTCAATCTTAAGCTCTCACCCGTGAATGAATTAGGAAGTTACAACAAACCCAAGCCTTTTGGACAATCAGGAATGAGTGCTTGGTAGGAAACTTGCAAGTTGCAACTGACATTTTATGTTTTCTCCCTCATGTTTACGTTTTCTTTTTTCCCAAACTGTTTCATCCGTTCCCTTACATGTGATATACTGGAGATCATTCCACCTTCTGTTTCATTTTCTAGGCCTGTATTGTATCAAAAGCCTCCGATATAGGGCGTTGACGTGCGGCTGTTTTGGAATGAAGACTAGCATTCCGTTTGTTTCTTCCCTTTCATTGTTTTACAACCCTCCTACCTCTTCTTGGAAGGCCTTGACGTGCGCCTTTATGGTATCCTTGATGGCATAATAATAAGCGCTATTACTTACGATTCCAAAGAGGTTGTCGGCGTGACTAAGGGGATGACTTTTGATTTTACCCCAAACACTGTTCACGCTTCATGTCACATTCTTCTGGGCAAAATGGTGGTCCCTGTTTGGGTGAGCCCAGGCTTCTACCAGAAAGAACGCCATCTTTATTTAAGTGCTTCCGCGAGAAGTAGGTTGCGGGGGCGATTTTCATAACTGCATCTTTACTTTTATGTGCCCTTGCATGTCCTATCCCAAAACACACCATCATAAGGTTGGTAGAGGTGTAAATGAATCCAATTGCTTGTAGCTTACTTGGATTTCGCTTGTTCCAAAATTTGGTTGCATTCAATTTTACTTATTAAATGAACATGTTTGCATAATATGCTATTAAATTTGTTGAGTTAGATAAGCCAAGCTGACTCTGCAAACAACTTATTTTATAATATTATTTTCGATCCTTAATATAAGAGCTAATTGACTAATTTGAGTAAATCAAGAAAGCTTGTTAAATTAGTTATTTATAATAAATATGTGTTATCTTTTCTAGAATATTCTTGCTAATTATGTGTATTAACTAAAACTACTATTTGATGGAATCTTTAACATGTGCAATTACTATAAGGATTACTTTGAAAATTATGGATAAATACAAGAGATAAAATTAATTAGAGTCTTGTGTTTATAAATAAATTAAAAATCAAACTAATTTTTATATTAGGTAGTGTAAGAAATGCTCATAGTTTGTGGACTCTAACGTTGATTTTTTTTTTTTGGGTACACTCTAACGTTGATATTACTACTACGAATTGGTGTTGCACGGCCATGACGGTTTAATTGGTCTAACTCAACTCAGCATTTTGAAGCCCATTTATGATCTGAGGCTGTTAGCATCTCTCCCTTTAGTGCTTTTTTAAGGAGGGGGAAAAAAAAGAAAAAGGTTATGAATGAGTGATTTTGGATGGATAGTATTTCATGGGGCTGGAAGACGGAGGCACTGGCAGAGTGCATTAGTTATGGAAAGATGACCACAGTGAAGGGTCTTTGCTCGGAAATTAAACCACGAAATGAATTCAACGGAATTTGAATTCTGGTTGCACATTTATCAAACCATGACGGGTAGAACACGACCCTTGTGGGGCTGCTTCTTTGTAGAGCCAAGACTTAGACTTGATCGGTGATCCTCAGAATCGCATTTAAGTGACTTAGTTGACATGTTGGGTATCTCTGTTTCATCCATCCCACCAGTGGGAGACAGCAAAGATTTGCTTTTTATCACTAAATATTTTCTCCTCTTAGCTTTTCCGTCTCACACTAAGTTGACTGCTTTCTTTTTCTTTAAACTTCTTGATTTCAACTCGTCTTATTCTTGATTAATCATTACTTACATTCATTATGGTCTTTTAGATGATTTCAAAACATCTCTGAAAAAGGTCCGAGCCGGTCGTAGTTAATAACAAAGTTTCACCGCGAGAGTTAAATTCACGGGAGATCAGTGAGACCAACCAGGTTCATAAATCTCATGTTTTATGGGATTTCCTTTTCAACCATGTACTACTATAGACGCTAACTTTATTATAAGATTTCATATTAAATATGGCATGCATCTTTTGAAATATCCCTGTCAAATGTCGGGGCCTGGGGGGTTAGCACAGTCATCACTGAGTGATCTCTCACTTACGCTTCATTAATACTCTCTGACCTCAGCAACTCAGTGCCAAAAACTCCACAAGGACGATCACTGAACTAAAAATCTGGCTCCTCTTACGACCCATGACTTGTTTGAGATGAGAATTTTCCAGCTTCTCGGCACAGCACCAAAAATCTATATACTCTTCCGGTTTTTAACATAGGATCTAATTATTAAGTTAATTTTGATTCTAAATATAAAATCTATTTTTTATATTTATCAATTTTTTTAAATTATCTCTTTAGATACTCTCTTAATCATGATCAAATAAGTGAAGGAGGAAAGATATTAATAATAATAATTATGATATTTTAGGAAAAACATGTCATATTTGTTATAATTAACTAACTTACCTAATTTTCTTAATCTAATCAAATTAATTAAAAAGATCTTATATTAAATATCCTATTATATTCTGCACACTTTCCTGGTACCTGTTTCATGCTTTCTTTTCAACTCTAGTCTTCACTTTTGAATTTTTTAACCAAAAACTTTCTAATGATCTTCCTCTTGCTGTGGACTTTGGCATGCTTCAGTTTCGAACTCTAATCAGAAAAAGCAAGGCCGACGTGCTCAAGGATTCACGTCAAAGCTGCTGATCTGTGAATAAATTAGATATTTGTTTTTTGTGCACTGATAACATCTTCTTTACACGTTATTGTAACATGATGATAAAATGTGTGATTGAGTTTCTCACTGAGCGTGTTTTATGTCCACATAAAAGATGAAATTACAGTATAAAAAATTTTCATATATTTCTGACATTTGACAAGTTTCGCTGAGCAGTACTTAATTGCAATCTATGAAGACCAACTACTAATGTCAGCTTTAGGCCCCATCATTTATTACGCTCACATTATAAGCTGCAAGCTTGTCCTCCTTCTCTACAGACTTCAAACTTGGAACTCTTCTGTCAGCCATTTCTTGTTGCTTCTTTCTGCAGAAGCTAGTCTCATGGCGTTTCCTCAGCTTATCACAGCTCTACTTTTTGCATTAGCCCTAGCCACAGTTGACCCCTCCACATGCCATGAAGTAAAAGCTAAAGTCTCTTGCCTTGACTGCCCCAACAATTTCGACTTCTCTGGTTTGTCTCACAATCTTCTAACGTACTAATTCATCCATTAGTGACTCACTAGCTTTCACTCTATTCTTATGCCATGTGGTTTCAACTTTTCAGGGATTAGGGTTTCAGTGAAGTGTGATAAAGTGAATAAGTTGGGAGTGGCAACTGCAGAACATGATGGCTCCTTCAACCTTAAACTTCCTAAAGACTCAGGGAAGTGTCTTGCACAACTTGTGGGAGGACCAGAGCAGCTTTATGCTTCAAGGAAGAACATGTTCTCTCGAATTGTGAAGGCTAGAGAGCCCAACACGTTCACCATATCTACTCCTCTGAGCTTCAGCACAAAGTCTGAGCTAGGCTCCTCCAAAACTGTCGATCTTCCTCTGCCTCCTGAGTGGGGTTTGGCACCCTCTAGCTACTATGTCCCTTTCTTCCCCATCATTGGAATACCCTGATTATGTATTCCTTTAACGTTAAAGCGCTTGTGTAATATTATCAAAAGCACACCTATATGTATATGCGACATGAGTAAATGTGGCAGTGTGGTAAGATCTGTATTTATGCTTTACTCTTGTTAAGTAAGCTTGTGAAGAAGGAAGTTACTTTTTCTATGTTTGAAAGCAGGCATGTATATGATGTGTTCTGCCTTGTCTATGTATTTGTGTCTCATGATAATGATAGTCCTGGTTCATAAAGCACCAGTTTCAGATTATACTTTTCTCTTGCTCAGATTTGTTGGGTTTATGTATAATTCTTTGTTGGTTTAAAACTATTAGAAGTGTTGCTAGCGAACATTTATTTCATGAAATTTGATAAACATTAGATCATGTGCATGTACAGAGGATACTGAAGAAAATGAAACGAAGGATGCAACTTCTAATTAATGACTAGAAGGTGGCCTGCATAAACCAAGCGATAGAAAGCAATAGGACCCAGGAAAACGAAACCTAACATGTGGTTGAAATGTGATGAGACAATAAAGAAGTTGAAAAGGACAGGATTTTCAAATTGCTTGTGAGAGTTGTTGTGTAATACTAATTTCATTACTTAATATAACAACTAGCTTGACATTCAATTTGGTTAGGATTTCAATTTATTTTGTCTCTTATATTTATTTATTGTTTTGTAGACATTATAGTAATTGCAGATGTTAAAAGTTTTATTAAATAATAGTTCTATCCAAAAGTTTTATTAAATAATAGTTCTATCCAAAAGTTTCATCAAATAATAGTTTTAGTCAATACACATAGTTGGCAATAGTATTTTAAGAAAAACAACACTTATTTATTACAAATAACTACTTTAACGAATTTTTTTAATCTACTCAAATTAGTTAACTAGTTTTTATAGCAATACTAATGATAAGAGGAAGTATAACATTACAGGAAAATGAGTATCCAGAAGCAGTCAAAACTACTAGTAAAAGTACTAAAAACTGCTGGTATAACGTTCTCAGTTGCCACTGTTATAACCAAGAGCTCTGCTATATCCTTATTGGGGTGAGTGATCCAGCAGATTTGAATCTTCACGTTTGTTTTTGGTAATTAAACATTATATTTACTAACTTATTTTAGATTTGAATCTCTAAAGTAAACTACTAAACTTCATGTAAGGCGTCAAGAAATGAAAAGGAAATGGCAGGCCCCATATTTGATATCTGTGACTGCGTGTCCTACATCTCCATCTTCCTCTCTGTCTTTCTTTATACTTTACCTGAAGTAAGCCTAAGGGACATTTTTTTTATTGTTATTTTCCTTTATTATTATTGCAACTATAAGTGATGCTGTGAAGTAAGAGGGAAAAGAAAACTGCTACTAAGCCATACTCTAGTGACATTCATAAATACTGCTAGCGAATGAAAAGAAATACTGTCAGTGAATTCTGTTTTTGTAAACAATCACAAGTGCTGTCACACTATAGATATCTGCAAGTGTAAAATAAAAATGAGGACAGCTTTTAAAATGCATTTGCTAACTGCAAGAATCAATTTGCCCCCCACTTTTACGTATCAATTTCCCAGTTTCCTTAACTGAAACATACTTCAATTTCTTTCTTTTGTTTCTTTTTTCAAACTTAGAAAACCAAAAAGAGCAGCCACTCCAATACTTATGCTGTCAAGTGCAATTTGTTTGAAGATGAGCTTCTCATAGCAGTCAAAGTAAAAAATAGGAACAATTTCATAAAGATTGCATTTGTTCATTAGTGGAGTAAAGGAGAGATGAAGGCAAACTAATGAAAATTTTAAGTGCTGAAAACAACTGATATTTGACAGTCACATTTCACCTTAGCTAATTCATTCATACCTGGTCTGGACATTGCCTCTTTTATCAGAAATAACGACCTAGCTCAAAGCTATTTGACATGACTTTGTAGGCAAAAATTGAATCTATGACCACCTTAGACAAGACTCAACCCTGTGACCTTGTCTTAACATTGGCAGTTTGTTTATTAACCACTCCAAGCTGCTAGTTTTGAGAAAGATTATAAACCCATTTAGAATTAATAGTGTTTTACAAAATACGAGGTAAGTATGTGAGAGAAATTTTGTCTCAACTTATATAAAATGCACTTATAGAAAATTTTCATCATGATCTTAAATAGGCACTGTATGCCATCCTGCTATACAATCGGCCCATCCTCATGTCACACCAATAAGGGGGGACAGATTTGCAGATCATCGTAGGTATTTGGATAGAATTAAAATCATGATTTTAAAAGTGTTTTTACAGCGTACAAAATAAATAGGTAGAAAAGTTTGTTTCATTTTTTAAAAAAAAGTATTTTTTTTGTGTTTCCAAACATATTTTAGAAACCTTTTAGATCAATTTATTATTTTAGTTTGCAATTATAAAATTAACAATATGCCGTTCTGTTACGTCACGTCAAGTAGATGGCATCTGACAGAGTCCGCGTGTGAAGATTGAGATTTGACCCTTTTTGCAAATTTTGTGACTTTACCAGTCAATGCAGAGGCATTTTCTGTCTTTTTTTTGAGTAGGATGTTATCGTTAACTCAGGATATCCCAGCGTATCAGCCAAACTAATCCCAGGATGTCTCGTCAGGAATCGAGCCCATAATCCGGTAGGAGAACGCGCCTTGTGCCCCCGTTTGCGACCAGTCAGACCCCACCATTGCAGGCAGGCATTTTCTGTCTTTGATTTGGATGGAGATTTCACCATCTGAAGTATTACTATTATAAAAAAGAAGCTAATTTTACGTCATAAACGTGTCATATGGAGATAAGCAGTGGATTTGGAGGAGAGGAGGAAAGTGGATGCACCAGAGGGAAAAAAAAAAGTCTTTTGGGTATTCAATAACTTGGGAGGTGCATTATGAAAGCAGTTGAATTTTGTGTCATAGCTCTCAACTCTCTCACTTGATTACCGGCTCATATTTCAAGATACAATGAACGTACGCTTCCAATACCATCTCTAAAATGTCAAATTACCCCCAAATATCTTATCTTTATGTTTGGGGCGGGGGAGACCAACGTGTAAATCAAGTCTTTGTTACTTTTTCGGTCTTAATTAATTTCGATATATTAAATTTAAATAAATTATTTAAATTTAAAAAAATTGACATGATCTTCCTAAAATATAATTTTGTTTCAAGTATCAGTTTATAAGGTATGCAATTTAGTTTTAAAAAAACTGATAAACATACTATATGAAATGGATTAAAATTTTATATTTATAGTTAAAACAAATTCTCTAACTAGTTTTTAATTTAGAATGTAAGGAATGTCTTCTAAAATTGAAATAGCAAAGCATAAATGGCATCTTAGAATATTGCCTTATATAATCCTATAAACACATAGCTTTTAATATTCATAAACCACTTGTTTCATTTAAAACTTCATAATGATTGACTGTTCATCATAGAATGCTACAATTTTTTCATGAGTATTAAAACTTAATTATGAATCTGCAATAAAGTTGATGGTTGTCCCACACTCGCATATATTTGGAAAGGAAGGACGAAGTCTGGTCCGGTCGGTACGATTTTGGGCATGCTTTGACTAATGGGTCATTTTGCCTTCCTCAATTGGTCATCCCCTATAAAATTGATTAAATCAGTATTCATTGGAAATAATCTTAGGGTCCACTAAAGAATTTGTCAAAGTTAATCGTCAATCTATGGCCCAAAAAATTTAAAAAGGAAAAATAAATCAATCACCCAATATAGCACGTATGGCGAGAGATATCATGGCGCAAAATGAAATTGACTGTTAAATTAATCAAAATTAGTAAACTTTTCAAGACAAACATGACCTTTTTTTAATTCAAGTACCCGTTTTTTTTCCTTTGACTTACTTAATCAGTTCACATTTCACACCATAATTAGATAAAGCTGCTTTCTTTTCATTTTTAATTGGCAGAATTGCCCAAAAAATCTCTTTATTAGATATCTTGGAACTTTTCTACCTTCTATCAATTTTAAACTTCACCTCAGCTTAGTTGGCGTGAATATGACCTTGTTTTTGTTGGGACGAAAGTCCATGCGCATGTATGACCATTCAAGTCCTAAACTTGGCCCAAGACAGGCAATTTTATGATTCGAAAATATCCCATCAGTCGACCGACCCCCAGTAAATTGACACCATGCAGCCTCTGATGAATTTAATTGATGGTCAGCAGAAATATTTTCTTACCTATTTGGATTTTTACCATAACGTAAAACCACCATTTCAAACATTTGTTCCGCTGAATATGACCGTACATTTTCATGATCATCCCAGAGAAAGAAGTTAAATATCAATTGTCAAGCCGATTGACCTGAGAAGTCTAATGTTATATAATTCATCTTCTGCCCCTTTTTCCTTCTCCTTTCAAGTACTTGACGTTATCATCATGTTTAAAATATATATCAATATGAATAGTGGAGTACGATATCAAAACACAAGCAGATTATTTAATTAAAAAGGTGCAGGGCATAGAAACGCACAAGCCCCTAAGATTAAATTAAAGAGAGGAGGACTGATTCAAAGGCGAGATTTTGTGGGGATAATCATAATAAAGACAAATGAATGAAGGGCATGAAGACGCTTTCTTGCCCCCCTAACCGCGTGGAAGTTTCCCACCAATCCAAACTCGCCATTTCTTCCTTCTCATTTTCCTCTTGCCAATATCTTCCAGCCACAGCTCAGAGCCCATTCCCTTTATTTACCTGTGGCCTCTCTTCTCTGCTCATTGTCAATGCCCACACTACACAATATCAATGGAAAATCAGCCTCCTGGTTTTCGCTTCTACCCAACAGAGGAAGAACTAGTGGCTTTCTACCTCCATAACAAGCTTCAGGGGGGAAGCGACCACCTCAGCAGAGTCATCCCTGACATTGGCATTTATGACTTCGAGCCCTCCCAGCTTCCCAGTACTTTTCTACTCTTAAATTCTTCGACTTCTCATCGTATATTATCACTTGGCGGTTGGCTAAATTGGTTTGTTTTGGTTTGGTGTAATGTGTTGCAGAGCTTGCGGGAGAGAGATGTCGTGCAGACACAGAGCAATGGTTCTTCTTCTCGCCGAGACAGGAGAGGGAAGCCAGAGGAGGCAGACCCAACAGGACCACGGCTTGTGGGTATTGGAAAGCCACAGGTTCTCCAGGGTACGTTTACTCTTCTGATAACAAAGTCATTGGGTTGAAGAAAACCATGGTTTATTACAGAGGCAAAGCTCCTTCCGGAAGGAAAACCAAGTGGAAGATGAACGAATACAGAGCTATTGAATTCTCTCACCAATCCTCTGTTCCTACTCCTAAGGTACAATCAAAGACCCAACCTTTCAATCTTTCTCATCATGCTCCTTCACTATCGCAGGCCTAGCATTTATTTATTTTCCTTTTTTCCCTTTCCGTTTACTTAGTTGAGGCACGAATTCAGCTTGTGCCGAGTTTACGTGGTATCGGGAAGCTTTCGAGCATTTGATCGTCGCCCTTTAGCTTCTTCAACATGTGGGCAGGATCAGGATATAAGGGTGGATGAATCAAGCTCGCGTGGAACCTCCCATCCACTCCCTGATGCAAACCCGAATGTAAATAACGAGGAAGAAGAATCTCTGTGGGACTGGGGACACTTTACTTGCGATGCTTCTGTTAATTATGACTCGATTCCTTGAATTATACTATATCTTGTTGACATCTGCTTTTTGAACTTCTTGTTCATAAGGCTTTGACCTCTGGTCGTCGTCTAGCCTCTCTGGTCTGGGTAAGCGTTTGAAGCAGCTGTATGGTTCTGATTTCTTCACTTGATGGGTGCTGGAAGACAGAGATGCGTTAATTCATTGTATTTGTTCATGACTTTATAAAGAACCGAAACCATTTCTCTTCTGAATTAGGGAAGTATTATTGCGATCTGCACTGATGCTTGTTATTTAGTTACAATTTGATCAAAGATGCCTTGTTATTCAATTTGAATTGTCTCAGTTTCTTTCTACTCTTTCAACCGATCAATCTCAATTAACGGATTGCATATATACCCATGAGATTTCCTAAATAATTATGCTTAACCAAAAAAATTTATTAAATTAAAATGAGGGGAGTTCACAGACGTCCCTAAAATAATAAAGAACAAATCACTTTTGATCTCTGGGTATTAGTTTAATATTTTATCATAATTTATTTCTGCATTTTGCTATTTTAGTGGAAGACCAAGAAGGCTATATCGATGGCTAGTGACTCAGTGACAACGATAGCTAATGTGTTTGGATAAAGTCTCAGTTTTAAAGCTAAAATTTATATCTTGCTGATATGAACTCTTTGCTGGACCCGAAGCTCCTAGTTGCGCCATACTTGGAAACTAGCTTGCTACGACAATACGTTACCATTCCAAATAAATTTTGGAAGTTTTTAGACATAATCAAAATTATAATTATAAAAAGATTTTTATGGTATACGAAATAAATATGCGAATGAGTTACTTTTATAATATACAAAATAAATATGTAAAGGAATTTACTTTAATTTACATAAAAGTGATTTTTTAAAAACACTTTTTAAATTATCTAAGCACGGACACATTTAGCATTCTCGCATCATGTGATTCAAGTTTTATTATTATTATTTTTTTTAACATGATAGTTTCAAGTTCAAAGCTACGTACATACTTGGTGTCAGGAGATTCTATCTGGACAACAGCTAACAAAAATTGAAGGAAACAAGCCATATTTCTTTTGAGAATTATTTTGATTTAAAAATAATATAAAGGATTAAAATAACAGATTTTATCCTTAAAAAATTAAAAAAATCAAAGCTAAGATACGAAAGTGAAGCTGATTATAGCCAGTTAAATTCGAGGCCATAGAAATGATTGAGTGAATCCCAGGTCAACTGAGTATTGGTTTATCTGATCACACTTTCCTTTGTGTCCGATCTGCAAGCTTGTGATTTTCATACTCCTCCTTTTCCAAAACGAGAAGTTGAATCGCATCTCGATCTAATATCGGAGGCATGGAAGCAGCTCCGGTAATCTGGGATGCATCGAAGAGCTTGTGTAGAAGCACTGCCAAACATACTGCTTTCATGTGCTGTTTGGAAGACAACCTGGGATCACTGAGGGGCCAATGGGCAGAGCTCCGAAGCCTAAGCCAAGATGTGAATGCAAGAATCCAAGAAGCTGAGAGTTTGGCTCATATGCGAAGGACCAGAGAAGTCGATGGATGGCTGCAAAGTGTAAACGCTTTAGAACAAGTAATCTTAACCTACATCAGCCATATTATATGTTCAAGTCAAGTTGAAATTGCTCATATATTAACGGAGCGAATGCTTATTTTATGGATTTGGATTTCATTTGATATCTTAACGATATAAAATGGAGAAATTCTGATGCGTAATAGTCTATTGAATTGAACACTCTCAAGTTCTGACATTTCAATGAAATAAACGAACAAACAATATTATATGAAATAAAGATAGCTTGGGCTGAAACACTTATTATACGTTTCTGCAGGTAACGGAGGATATTATGCAACGAGCTGCTAAGGTTATCCAGTTCAAGTGTTTGGGTAGGCTTTGTCCAAAGAATTGTTTCTCAAGCTACTTCACGGGAAAAGAGGTTGTTAAAACACTGGATCGTGCCAGAGAATTGACGGCTAGGGGACAAAAATTCAATAATGATGCTAATATTGCTTATCAGCTGCCATGTGAACCTGTGAATGAGATGCCGGTCGCCACCACTGTGGGCATGGATTCGATGTTAAAGAAGGTTTGGGATAGCATTGAAGACGAAAATGTGAGTGTGATTGGTCTATATGGGATGGGTGGTTCAGGAAAGACAACCCTTATGAGGAAACTCAATAATGAGTTAGCGAATAGAAGTCATGATTTTGCGCTAGCGATATGGTTAGTTGTTTCTAAGGACTGTAATATTGATCAAATTATGGAAGACATCCGACAAAAGTGTGGGATAGATGACATGAAATGGAAGAACAAAAGTAAAGATGAGAAAGCCATAGAAATCTACAGGGTCATGAAGCAGAAAAAGTTCATTTTGTTGTTGGATGATATATGGGAGGAACCAGACTTACAGAGTATTGGAGTTCCACTACCAAAAGAGGTCAATCAATCAAAAATTTTGTTCACAACTCGTCTTGAAAATGTATGTGACCAAATGCAAGCGAAGAAGTTCAAAGTGGAATGTTTGACAGAGAAAGAAGCATTGGATTTGTTTTTTATGAAAGTGGGTGCAGAAACTCTAAATTCACATCCAAGTATCAATGGGCTATCACAAGAGCTTGTGCAAGAATGCAAAGGATTACCACTTGCGCTGATAACAGTAGGACGAGCTATGGCTGGCCGGAAAAGTCCACAGGCATGGAAACATGCTATAAGGGAGCTGCAAAGTTTCCCTTCAGGGGTTTCTGGCATGGAGAAAGTAGTATTCAACACTCTCAAGTTCAGCTATGATAGCCTTCCTACTGACATAGACAAAAAGTGTTTCTTATATTGTGCATTATTCCCGGAGGATCGAACAGTTTATGTCCCTCGTCTAATTCGCCTTTGGATTGGGGAAGGATTTCTCAAGGAGCATGGTAGCATACACGATGCCTATAATCATGGGGAAGATATAGTGGAAAGATTAAAGCTAGCATGTTTATTGGAAGGAGAGGAATTTCTTTGGGTTAAGATGCATGATGTGGTCCGTGACATGGCACTGTGGATAGCTCGTAACCAAGATCAAGAGAAAAACAAAGTTCTAGTGCAAGGTGAAGCAATAGCATCTTCACAAATTGGTAATCCTGAAAGATCACTGATGATAGAAAGGATTTCAATGATGTATACGAAAAGGGATGACTGGTGTGTTCCAAAATGTCCAAATCTTTTGACCCTAATTGTGTGGGGCAATGACAGCAAAATAGATTTTGCAAATGTTCGGTTCTTAAGTAATTTGAAAGTCTTAAGTCTAAGGATGGAGATGATTTCGACAATCCCGACTGAAATAGGTCAACTAATTTACTTGGAATATCTGGAGCTATCTGAAATGCACATTAAAGAAAAATTACCGCTTCAGATGAAAAATTTAAAGAGCTTGAGGGTATTCCTCCTAGAGTATGTTCATTTCAGTCTTGAAATCATTCCTTTGGAGGTAATATCAAATCTTGAGGGATTAAGAGTGTTCTCATTTATTGAAAGTAGATTCAAAGAAAAGATAAAGTCCTCCTTCCTTGCCGCCATTGACTTCACCCATAATATGGAGAAATCATTTCTGGAGCAGCTAGAGTTATTACCATTTTTGGAGGATCTTAGCATCACCTTGGAGACTGCCACAGGTATCAAGAAACTGCTTAGCTCAACCAAATTGAAACCTTGTGTGAGATTAATGGGACTTTATCAATACAAGATGGCTGCAAGTACCGCACCATTATTACCATCTGTGACTAGCATGCAACATCTGGAGCGCATGACTTTAGTTGGATTACAAGACAATATGACAGAGTCCTCTGTTAATCATTCATCCCCTTTTTGCAAGCTCCGTTGGGTCACAATTTTGGATTGTCATGACATGACTCATTTGACATGGCTCAAGTATGCCCTAGTCCTCGATTATCTTATTGTGGAAAACTGTAACCTGATGGAAGAAGTGATAAAAGAGGCTCAAGATGACCAAGGCAACAGAAATATGGATGACCTATTCTCAAATCTCAGGTACATTAGCTTGAGAAATTTGCCCATGCTGAAGAGTATCTACAAGAAAGCCCTGCCTTTTCCTATGCTGCAATACATAAATATAATGGAATGTCCTAACCTGAAGAAGCTTCCTTTAGATTCCAACTCTGCAAGAAATAAGTTAAGGGCAATCTGGGGAGAAAAACTGTGGTGGGACAATTTAGAGTGGGATGACCAAACCATTAAGGGACAATTCTGTTCAAAATTTAAAGACTAGCTGGTGACGAAGGTATTTCATCTTTAACTTCTATGTTAACTAATGCTGCTTTCAGACACATCACCATATTGTTTTTCTGTGGTTCATGATTTTATTGGTTATCCCATTATACACACAAGCATATCCTAGTAAAAGTATTTTTGTGATGAGTATTCCATTTTCAACCCGTTTCCTTCCCTTCTTATTTACTTCCATTCAATAGTTTACTTCATTTGATTGTCTGCATATGAATGTGAGCCTCTGGAGGGATTTATGCATCCTGACTTTTCCAAGTTATTCTCATCAACAACGGATGACCTTTTCTCTGAAGTTTCAGATTGGTTGCGTTGGTGCCTTTTAAAAACCAGAACCAACCCCATTAACTAGCATCGCTTCTTTGTTTTTAAAAAATAATATTAATATTAATAATCATATTCTGTTTCAATTTTGTGAGTTGTTTCAACATTTTAATCAAGCATGTTATCAATTTCTTTTGGACGATTGAAAAATAATTAAATTAAAAATCAATTTTAAAAATTAGAATTAGAATTAAAATTAAAACATGTGTCTAATCCCTCAATTTAATATTTATGTTGTTATTTAAATATATTTTGTTAAATCTTTAATTTACTTTTTCATTGCATCCAGTTTTCATTGTCAATCTTATTATGTAAACTTTTTTCAGGTCGCATTTATTCCTTAATTTGACTATTACTATCTCAAGATTTAATTTTCGATATTTATTTCGTCTTTGATATATTATTTTTATCCCTCAATCACGCTAAATAAGGATTAAGTAATTAAATAAAGTTAAGAGAAAAAATGAAGGTAACCGTTTAAATGAAACGAAATGAACTGATCATATTTGGAAGCTGATGGCGGCCTCTTTGATCGTATTGATCAGTAATGAATACAAGACCAAGATGCATGAGGTAGGCTACGACATAACTAAACAATCATATCCATAGATCACAAGTTCAGCTGGTACAAGGAATCTGAAGACGTAGTAGTGCCATGGTGGAGCTGGTCAGGTGTTATCAGTTTTCGAACAACTCCTCAGTTCTTAGCACTTTGAGAAACCAACAACCCCATTATCTAAATGACACTCTTTATGGCTCTATATAAGCACAAAGCCTCGACACTGTCTGTATCATCAAGCTTCCCCATATCCATATATATCCATTCTTCAAAGTAAAAGACTAGCTGGGCAAATATCTGATATGGAAGCTTCTGCAGAATCCAAGTCCAAAGGCAAGGCCGTTTCATTTGCAGGGTCTCCACCTCGTTCCGAAGCTGTCCCTCTCCCGTTAGCTAAATATAAAAAGGGCCTTGCCATCGGAGATTTCGTCCTCAGACTCGGCACGATCGGAGCCTCCATGGGCGCCGCCGCCCTCATGGGACCAACGAGCAGATTCTTCCATTTTTCACTCAGTTCCTCCAGTTCCACGCTCAGTGGGACCAGTTTCGCATGTTCCAGTAGTTACTTGCATCTTTCTTTCATCCTCCACCCACTTCTTTCAATTTTCATCTTTGGCTTGGGGAATATTTCAATTTCATCATCCCATGCATAATGCAGGTTTTTTGTGGTAGCAAATGCAGCAGCAGCTGGATACCTTATACTCTCCCTGGCATTCTCGATCGTGTGCATTGTTCGACCCCTCGTCGTAGCACCCAGGCTTCTACTTGTAATCTTGGACTCAGTAAGCTCCATAATTTTGTTCAACGCACGGTGCTCTCTTCTCATTACTATCCTCTCCATTACCTCATGTTGCTGACATTTCATACACCAGAGTTATCAGCACTTGAGACAATATCTCTCATCAGTAAACAATATCTGTGATGACTGAAAAGAAAAGGCAATGCGTGGGTGCAGGTGATGATGGCGTTGGTGACGGCGGGTGCT